AGCTTGTGTGTGTGTGTGTGTGTGTGAGCATGCCGGCAGCAGGATGCAGATGCCCCGGACAGATGTGAAGGTCCATTCTTGAGCCATGATTGAGCTCATTTCTGATGACAGCTGTGCTCTGAATAGGGCTCCTTTGACCTGAAAGTGCAATCGCATGGGGGTTTGCAAAACAATGCTGATTATTGTGAATGTGCAGAGCACTGCACGAGTGTGAACGAGCCGGATTGTGTTTAAATTCTCTCTCTTTCACGTTGGTCAAAGAACTGTTTTTTTTTTTTTTTTTTTTTCCAACTTAAATGCATTTAGTTTTGCAATCTGAACAGATAACGCTACATGTGCTCATTTCAGATGTAAAGGTGAAGTATGCAGTTCCTGCCTAATGTCATCTAGTGGAACTACTAAAATAATGCATATTCAAACAACCTTTGCAAATGCCCCTTTCACTCATCACACCTTTATGTTTACTCTTATCTTTACACTATCTTACTATTTTATCTGGGGCTTGAGAGTGAAGGGCTAACGTGAGTTTAGCAAGAAGAAACTCTGCAAGTTTGTCGGCTCTATTGAATTCCAAACGTACCATCAAATTCTTGTAAAAACACTGCCAGTGTTTAAACTTGTTTTTCCACATTGTCTGTCTCGGCATAATTTGGCAAATATTTGAATTTTGACTTCTGTGCACTGAATCTGAATTTTTTTCCCATGCACCACGTCAACCATGTTCAACAGTCAGCCTGCTACAGTGCCCAAACTCAGTCTGTTACAGTAGCCACACCCCAAACCCCGCCTGATACAGTGGCAAACGGTAAAACTGTTTGCACTACAAACCAGTGTGTTCATAATAAAGATAATACATTAAAATAAAAAGGTAAGACTGACCAATTTGCAGTATCAAGCAGCAAAACGAGCTGATTTATACAGCTAAAAATAGCTGGACACGGATGACACCGGAAGCTAGTCCCATAAAAATTACAAATAGCCGCGCTCGCGCTTACAGCAAGCTGAAATTCTGCAGTTTTAGTACTTGGCTCAAGTCCAAGACCATGTTTTCAGGAGCGTTTCACTTTGGACTGAACTTGAATGAGCCGGTCTCAACCAGTCATAGAAAATATGGTGATCCGAATGCTTTAGATGCTGTATTTTAAAGCAAATAAACTGATAGAAATGATTTTGTGATCTTTGGCTGTGTTTGAGGCTGTGAGTAGTGCGTCTCTGATGACATTTAATGATTTACTTCATAAAAGTGACATCTTGAACATTTTCAGTGTCGGCCCTATGTTACAAAATGTTCCATTAATGTGTTCAGTGAAAGCAGTGTGAACACAGACTCACAGAGACTCATGCATGTTGGAATCCTGTCATAGTCCCATCTCCTCTAACTGATGTCAGAATACCTTTGAAAAAGACTTCAAATAAACTGTAAGTATATATTGATGTGTGTGTCTCAGGTGGTGAGCGCGCTGGACTCGAGCCCGACGGCTCGACGCACTCAGCTGCAGCACAAGTTTGAGCAGGTCATTGCGCTGGTGGAAGACAACATCTATGAGTGCAGCAGTGAGGCCTGAGCGCCGCCTCCAAGGACAGAAGCCCTGACGCCCATATCTGATCAAAACTGTCCCACATTCACTGAATCAATGTGGATAATCAAGTGAAGCGAGGGGGAAACGTCCATAATGTTTCACCGCTTGTTCTTGCTATGATGAGTTTGTTGGTTTTCAATCACTATAGTATTCCACTATTGACTTTGAACTAGGAGTTCGTTTAATTAATTGTGGACTCCAGGGTCCTGAGGCCTGCAGTCATGTGACGCACTGACCCCACGCTGGGGGAGAGCCACTTATGCACTGGATTATACAAGACCTTCTCCATAGCAATATTTATAGCTGTATGATGATTTCATAGTGTTATTTGAATAACGTTTCTGATGGGATATTTGTGCCTGCACTGTTCAACGGCAGTCCATTTTAATTCCACGATGCCTTGGACTACAAGTTACTATATGATTAACATATAATAGGCTTGAATGAGACTGTTGCATTTGTATTAATTATTATTATTTGAAGGGTTTGGGTCTTTCTTTGGGTCCAAACCAAAGTGTGTGCATCATTTTTGTAGATATTCTGCTGGAAATGTTTAATTTTTTTGGAGAAAGAGGGAAATTTTATCAATAAAGACAAACTTTACTAAAACATTGTGTAATGTTCCCAGTTCTTTGTCACATCCAAGCACATTTTAGTAAACATTTTTTGTTTTACATGAGCCTTTATTTCTGCTTTGCCTCTATATTTTGTAATCTGCAGACAAATTCATGTCTTTACACATGAGCATATTTAACCATAATTCTTCCATAGACGACATTTACATCTAAACGTTCAGAGAATTGTTTCGCTGGGTGTGTGGTGAATCTCCTGAGGTCTCGTCTGGCTTCAGCACTCAGTCTCACGTCTGGTCAACATCAAACTTTATAAAGAAACAGCACATAGACTCAGAACATAAGCCTACAAAAGGTTATCCGGTGAAAATCAGAACTTTACAAAATCATAACTGACTATAGCTAAATATTCATCTAACAGCTGGAGTATCAGGCAGAACCAATGGAGCAGCTGTTGAGATAAACACATAGAGATGCCATCAAGTTACTAAACACATACACAATCACCTGCAGTACAAACATACACTATAACTATAACTATAGAGATCTGGTTGGCCAGTTTTTGCAAAACGTGTAAGATTCAAGGGCAGACATGTGTGAAGTAGTAGATGTAGTTGTTGGCTGGATGAGCGGAAGCCGAGTAGATGTGGAGTGACATATTTGGCCTGTAGGAGGCTGCTGGGTGGATTTGTCCAGCTGTCGGTCAGGCGGGAGCCACCTGACTGGACGAGACCACCGAGGACTGAGTCTTACTGGAGGCCGTCATGCTGGTCTCCTCCTCACCAAACGGGTTCTTTCCACAGCAGACCGTAGTGAGCATGCAGTTCCTGAACTGGACCAATGCAAACACATCCAGGATTATATACAGCAGACATCAGTTCCAACCCTGCTTCAACAAACCTGCCTGTTGTAGCTACTCTGTTAGGTAAAATGGTAAGTAACAAGGCTATGAAGTTGAACTGTTCAGTGTATTAGCCATTAGCCTGCAAGCTTATTAGATGTCGTATGACGTTTGATCATTTGGTAAGAACATGCAATAAAGATGTTGAGATCCACCCTACAACTTGTGACAGGCACAGCCCTGATGTTCCTTCTTTTACATTTTAATAACAAACTATATCAGTTCAGCCAGTTACTCTTAGAATACTGAATACTCTTCAGTGTTGTTCATAATGTATGAGGGAGTCATTGAATTATTCACTCAACCCTTTTATTCTAAAACACTGATTCATTCAGGAATGAAAGAGCATGAGCATGAACTTCTGTGTGCTGCTTGAATACACACAACAGTTCGTTCTGCTGTGTCTTTCTTTAGAACTGTTTTTAGTTAGTATACTTAGTACGTAGTACATGATTTAGAACAGTCTCACCTGTCTGTTGAGTACGATGTAGATGACCGGGTTGTAAAGCGCTGCACTCTTAGCAAAGAAAGCAGGTATTGTCATGACTACAGGACCAAACTCTGCCCCCTGATTACCAAAGATATACCAGGCCACGCTGGCATACGGCACCCAGCACACTAAGAATGAGATCACCATGACAACCACCATACGTGTCACTTCCCGTTCGGCCCTCTGGGTCGTCTCTGATTCCTGCTGCTGAGCAGCGGCCTAACGACAGAAAACAATGAGCACAATATGTGCTGTTCATGGTCCTGGATGCTGATTGGGTCAGTGGTCCAGCTGTGTTGACGATATATGTGAAGCAGCTGCTTATCACTGCACAACACTCAACTATTAACCTAACATGTCAGGAAGTAGATCATGTGTCCTTTGTGTAGTAACTGCAATAAAAAGCACCAAGTCTGTGCTTGTTTGTTATATATGAATTGATCATTTAAAAGGATAGTTCACCCAAAAAGGAAAATTCAGCATTTTTTTGTCCATACCTTGGCCTGCTAACCAAAACTGTCTGGTTACCAACAGTCTTCACAATATCTTCTGTGTTCTACAGATCAAAGAAATACATGTTTGTGTGTGTCTTACCGCACGGACAGTGCAGAGAAGGCGACTGTAGCAGAAGAAGATGATGAGCAGTGGGATGGAGAAGTGCAGGATGAACATGTAGATGACAAACGAGGTGTTGTTGATCTCAGGTTTGGGAGTGTAGTAATCTATTCCACAGGAGCACTGCATTCCCTCTGGAATATACCTGCACACAGTCACATGACCAACAAACCTCCAGTCAGGACATCAGTATCAGTTCATGAGCTCATTGTCCTGTCACTGACTGCTCAACTTCACACTTCACTGTTGTGGGCAATTCAGTTGACAAATGAGTGGACAAAGCTCTGTGTTTAGCTGAAGACTGTGATGGAGTACCTGGACCAGCCCAGCAGGGGCGGCACGCAGCAGGTAAGGGCCATGACCCAGGTGAAGCCCACTCCCACGATGGCGTGCTTCTCTCCGAAACGAAACGTTGTCATTGGTTTACACACCACAATATAACGCTCGACAGCCAAAACCACCAGAGACCACAGCGCGATCTCACCTGACAAACAAACAGAGAAGATGAAGATCTCGATCACTTCAGCTCCAAACTTGGTCTCCTCTTAGTCCACTTTAGAGATGGCAGAGAGGATAATTAACATTCGAAGATGATATAAACATGTGAGATTTGCTATATTGTACATATTGCTTTGTGTGAGTATATGTACAGCATGTGTCGGTTATACATATAACACCGTGTCCTAACTACACGCAACGTGACAAGATTCCAGCGACAAGAAAATTTGTGTGTCCACACCAAACACGACGCGACAGAATCAATCAAATATCACAGCCAATCAGAAGCGTGTGTGTGTGGGCGGTTTCTCTCTGGAAGCACTCTGCACTCACAACGAAATGGATGTTCATAATCTAATTCATAAATATTAAAGCTTTTTTACATAATTAAATGTAAATATGGAGTGACTGATACCATCTTTATGGAATACACTCGTTGGTTGGTTCGCAGTGAGTTTGCAGTTTTAACGTACATCTTTGCTTTAATTTATTTTCAAGATCTGAGGTAAACTGTCTGTTGTTGCTTTCAGTATGGCTATAAGGTCACGCAAAATTATATTTAAACTCATATTAGACACGTTTAAGTAAGGGATAATGTACATCCAGCCGGTTGTTATCTCAGAATAAACCCCGACAGGGTGATCAGGACCCCGACGCGAAGCGGAGGGTTACACGGCTAAAAAGATTTGTTTTTACCATATATGTTGAAATTAATGCTGAAGTCTTCCATTGTAACACGCGGTGGTTAAGTGTTTTCAGTCACAAGATGGCGCCAGACAGTCAACGATAGCGGAGTGACTCGTTAAGCATATAAGTAGTACCGGTCAAGATAACTCGTAGTACCCGGATGAGCGGTGTGCTATTCAATTTGGCGGTTGTTATCTGGGAATAACATACCTCTGGATGGCGCGATTGACCAATCAGAATCAAGTATTCCACAGAGACGTGTAATAACTTCTAATAAAGAACATAATCTGTACCTGAGATTATCTACTGTACTATAGTTTGTATGTTGTTGTTCACGCCGCGGAAATAGAAACCATTTCTAAATTAGAAAGTTTGCGTGTCGCCATCGCGGCTAGTTAGGACAAAAACTCTGATTAACATGGAAAAGATTCCTTTTATCGCGTGTCGCGTCGCGTGTAGTTAGGACACGGTGTAATAGTTGTAAGGTTAGTAATTCAAGTTTTGCAGTGCTATTGGGGATTATAAAATCTGCATGGTTCTGGTTTCAATGTTTTGGTGTCATTAAATTACTATAATTTATTAAATTACTATAAACTTATGTATGTATATATATATATATATATATACCGTATTGGCCCGAATATAAGACGACCCTGTTTATAAGACGCCCCCCCTTTTTCCAGATGTACCTTTTGGAAAAAGGCTTTTTAAAAAACAAATCTTGTTTTTTCTCAGTAAAACACATTTTGTCTTCAATTAGTCCCACGGCCATCAGAGAGAAATAAATATCGGCAGGCAGGTCCAATCACACAGATGGTGGGCAGAGCACAAGGAGAGTCTGACGGGATTTCTTTCCCTTTCAGGCCCCATCTGTTACTCCCATTATAATTGTATAATATGTGAGCCTTAATTCTGAGGAATTAGATGCAGTGCTTGAAACTGTAGGTGCAAGATCATTCCAAGTCATGCATGAATTGAGGATGTCACCAGCTAAGATGGTGTCCCTCCTCATATTTTATCAGGCTAGTCAACTGTTCGAGGTTGAGCTGCGTCCCCCAGATGTTGGAATCTATTAGGCAGGTGGCTCCCTTTGTTGCCAAATCTAGACAGTGGCATCAAGTGTGAGTAGCTCCCCGTAAGCCCTCCTTGATAGCCATCTTGAGGGTCGAGGCCATCATGCTGAGGCCACCACTCTCTAGAGCTCTGCCTAGATAGCAGTATTGAGTTTTGTATGACTCTCTGTGAGCCTCCTTGGAAAGCTGTCCTGACCATCGGATGTAGCTAGTTCTCCTCTCACTTTAGAGAGTCATTTGTTAAGCCTCCTTTCACTATAGAAAGTCATCCTGTTAAGTTCCACTCGTCTGAGCTCCACCTAGGTCCTCTATGATGCCTCCTTAACAGGCGTAGGATGTTGCTAGGGTGCCTCTCGCTTGAGACAGTAGTTATGCTAGGCCTCCATCCTCTGAGCTCTGCTAGGGGCTAAGTTGCTGACTCTCTGCTATATAAGTGCTGCCTCCTTGGCCGCCTTTGAAGTGGAATGTTGTTAGGCTTCCCCTCGCTATAGAGAGTCATCCTGCTGGAACCTCTGCTGGAGTCTGTAAGCCTCCTTGGAAAGTTGTCCCAAGTGTAGGGCATAGTTAGAACTCCTCTCACTTTAGAGAGTCATTATGCAGAGGCCTCCATCCTTAAACCTCACCCAGGCAGTAGTGCCAATTTGTTAGGCTCTCTGGGAGCATCCTTAGCTACTGCCTTTACAGAGTGGACTGTTGTCCCACTCCTTGGAGCTCCGTCTAGGCAGCAGTATCAAGTTGTTAGGCTCTCTGTGAGCCTCCTTGATAGCTATCCTTAGCTTAGGGCATATGTGGGCCTCCTCTTGCTATAGAGAGTTGTCATGATGAGGCCTTGGTCCTTACAGCTCAAGTAGGCAGAAGTGCCAAGTTGTGAGGCTCTTTGTGATTTTCCTTGGTCACTGTTTTTAATTCTAGAGGATTCCTAAGCCACCTCTCACTATAGAGAGTCGTCCTTTTAAGGCTTTCAACCCCGGAGCTCTACTTAAGTAGCAATTCTGAGTTGTTAGGCTCTCTGTATGCCTCCTTGGAAGCTTGTGGAAAGTAGTTGGGCCTTCTCACTATAGAGAGTGGTTCTGCTGAGGCTTCTGCTCCCCAGAGCTCCGCTGGGATAGCAGTTCTGAGTTGTTAGGCTTTCTATGAAAGCCTTGGGAAGTTGCCCTGAGCTTGGGTTTGAACCAGATCTCCCTAAGTATAGTGACAGACAAGGGAACTATCTTGCTTCCCTGTGCCAGTATTCCCTTAAAGGTGTCATCTAGTAAAGAAGGCTAACGTTACCAGACCTTTGAGCTCTTCCCTTGGGATGGGCACTCCCAGTAAGGAAGGGAGGAAGCTGTAAAAGCCGGGACTTTCCTTGCATAGGGTGTAAAGCTTAGGGGGTGGCCATAGGGAATACTGTCAGTTCTGATGGTGCAGACTTAATAGGGGATTGCTGACTCCGGCAGCTAAGACTGTTGAGTCCTTATTTGAGTGCATGTCACAGCCGATCTGGCAGTCAATCCCCTCAGCATGGCATAGTGAGTATTTGTTCCCCATAGAAATCTTCTCAGATGCAGTGCGAGTTTCACTTGAAAGGGAACGTCTCAGGTTATGCATGTAACCATGGTTCCCTGAGAGGGGGCTGCCTGTTTATGTCTCCTTCAGACAAAAAAAGTGTATGACATACACTACATTCTCCTCTAACTGTACAGTACAAATAAAATGTCAGTAATGAAGAAAATATGTTACTACACTGATTGAACTGTAAGATTAGATTAATCCAAGATTAATCTGGAAGATGCTGTTTTACGGAAAAAAAAAAAAAAAAAAAAAAAAGGCGTAAGGTCATACATAATCTCTCATAAAAGTCATAAAAATTACTCATCCAGTTGGATGGTTAATTTATTATTTTTTTTATATTGATTATTATTTTTACTGTAAAAACACTTTTTTTCATTACAGCAATTACTACCTACATGTATAATTAGTTTTTGCTTTATAGTAATGAGACTTGAGATGGAAATGTGGGTTATGAACTCATTAAATATCACAATGCAAAATCCAAAAGAAAACAACTATATATACATATTTAACATTTTAAGGCCTCTAAATAAAAAAAAATCTACCTTAAAATTTGTATTACTATACATTTGACTGTAATACATTAAAACACCTATTATAGTTAAGAGAACAGTGATAATTACAAAAATAAATAAATGAATGATAAATAAAAACACTTAAAGATAAAACATTAAGATCTGCATGAAAAATGTGAAACAAAATTGTCATGAAAATAATGCGAAAAATATGCTCGGTTTTTGAGTGAAAAGTGATCGTGGCATATTTTTGTGAGAATCACCCAAATTTGACACCAGTCTTTATTACCACAGCAATACCCACACTGTGCTTCTGATTGCTATCTGATGAATCTCTCAGGAGTGTTTGTCTGCAGAGATGAAGCACTCACCGCCCAGCGTGGCGAAGAAGCCTTCGATGTTGCAGCCGGTGACCCCCAGGACGAAGTATCCGTGCAGGGAGGTGTAGAGGGTGACGGTGAAGCCTCCCACCACCATGAACAGGTCGGCCACGGCCAGATTGAGCAGGATGTAGTTGAGGGGCGTGCGCAGCTTCTTGTGCTGCACGGTGATGTAGAGCGTGAGGAAGTTGACGGGGAATGCAGTGATGATGAGGAAGAGCATGTACGCCGCCAGGAGCGAGTACTTCCACGGCTCTGCCAGGTAGTACTGCGGCTCCTCAAACGGGCTGCGCACCAAACCCGTCCTGTTGGACATGGGCACGTAGAAGTTCGGACCTTCCGTTCCATTCATGTTTGGTTCACTGGTCAAGGGTCACAATGGAGAAAGCCGATAGATGAGAGTGAACCTTCTCCTCAGTAGAAAGCGACTGAGAGCGAGATCTGCTCCGCAGGACGCGAGCGCCTCTCTTATATGCCCCCCATGTGCCCAGATTAAGCGCAGATGAGAGATTACAGTGAGGTGCTGCAATTTGGAGGAATGGAGTTACAGGCAGATTGGGGTCAGAGGCCTGATAATCCACAAGGTTAAACGGCCGTAGGACAGCAACAAACCCCGTAACTTAATGAATATGTCTCTATAAGGGCCAATTCACAAACTCCAACAAAAACCACCAGCGCAGTCATTGGGCTGTATTGGGTCAGTGTTTTGTTTCCCAACATCTGAAATCCAACTGCACGCTTGTTGGTGTTTCTTGGGTCTTTATCCAGTACTGAACCCCAGACAGCTGCTCTGATGAAGCCCAGCCACACACTTCAAGCCCAGCCACACACTTCAGCTTTATAAACACGATTACTTACACAATGACAAAAACAATGAGTACTACTGAAATAATGCTGGATGGAAAGAGAGAGCTAAAGTTCAGTGTGGGACAGAGTTCATTTATTAACCATCAAACAGTAACGTTTCAGAGCGAGAACAACCTGACAAAACATCACCGCTGTTACCTGCTCAGGTTTGTGCTACTGGTTTGCCACTGATGATGTCTCTTCCTAGAGGAGGAGGAAACTGGCTTTTGTTAGGTAAATTGACATTAAAAACTATAAAGAAGTTCTGTAATCAAACAATATTCCAAAGAAAACATAACAAATTTCTTATTAAATATTTAATGGGGACATGGCAAAAATATTTACTCAGACCCACTCGGAGGTCAAACATACTCATAAAGTTCACTTAATTGCAAAAACCAGTATGATTTCCATCTTTTAAAAATAATATATGAAGACACTGAGCATGGGCACATTGTCAGAGCGCTGCAGAGACACTGAAACCACACATTAACATCAACACTCAGTTACATCACTGTGTGCTTTTGGGCCTTTTCCTTCTCATTGTTATCATTATTTGTGTGTAAAGGTATGTCTGTAATTTAATGTTACCAATGTGTTTGCGATGTTTAGTATTTTTTTACCATGCAAATAAAGCCATTTAAATCTGAGTGTGTGAGATGGACTAGCCATTCGTCCAGACCACCTTACAGAAGACAAGCAGTGGATGGATGATGGGAATATGAAAATGTTCTGCTTATTACTGACTTGTATGACAAAACCGGTATTGAGAGTGATGGGTCATATATGTGGAGACTGACCTCATGATGTCAAACACAAAATGTTGACTGGATCAGATTTGGAGAACGTGATAAAATGATGAAAGGAAAATCAGCAACATTCCTTTAAAAATAATTTTTTCTCCTTTTGTTTTTTTTTTCTTTATTCATGTTCTGATTGCAAATACATCACTGCTATTACAAACAGAAATGTAATAGTGTTTTTTCATCTCTTAAAATATGTTTAAAAAATCTATTTACTTTATTTTTTACTTGTTTCATATTTGTGGACATCCCCAAAAGGAGGTTTTGTCAGGTTTAGCTCATTTCTTGGGGCAAATTTGTCCCCAGAATAAGGCTAAGTTGGTACAAACGCGCTCACACAGACTGGTTTTCTGTGGTCTTTCTAGTGCTTATGGTAGGCATAAGTTACAAAGTTTTTGTCGATGTTTCTAGCATCTCACCAGCAGTGTCCTGATGATCTCATGCAACACCTGAGCTTTACAGCAGCCACTTTTACAGGCAAAAACCACTCACACCTACATGAAGCAATCAACACAAACACTTCAGCTCTACTGACAGGAAAACATTACAATACATGTTAGAGGCATAAATATTACTCTTTATTTATATTGTCTGAATCTAAGCAAACATGTTGAAGTGGACCGAGCCGTGAGTGTGTGTGTGTGTGTGTGTGTGTGTGAGAGTGTGTGTGAGTGTGTGTGTGTGAGTGTGAGTGTGTGTGTGAGTAGGTGTATGTATGTCCTCACATGTACAAACGCTGTAATCAGCTTTAGCAGCTGATCCGGCTGATCCTATCAGAGCGCTGCGCTGAGCTGGCATTTACTGACGCGTTTCTAGCTGATCAAAGCACAGTCCTACAGACACACAGGTGAAGTGATGGTCTGGAGGCTAATCCAGGCGCTAGCTGGGCTCGTCGATGGGTCTGCGGCAGTACGGACAGCAGTTGTGCTGAAGAACAAGCAGCTCGTAGTCCTCACTGTGAAACATCTGTGAAAACACCACAACACAATACAGTCAAACATCACCAGAACAGAGCCCCGAGCGCGTGATCGAGCGTGTGTGTACCTGGAAGCAGGAGGGGCACATGGTGATGCTGACGTCTGGCAGCAGAGAGCGGTAGTACTGCCAGCTGAGCGGTCTGGGCCAGCGCTTTATCAGAACATCTCGTCTGGACATGCACCTCAGCACGGCACGATTCACCAGCACCGGCACGAACGCACGGCCACCCTGCTGTAAACACCAGCACAGCACACTCACACACTCATCTCACACAGCACTTCAGTGACCAGGAACCCCCTCACCTCAAAGCTGAGTTTGGCTGTGAACGGATCGTCCTCTGGGTCTTCAGTCCCATCATCCAGCCTCAGACACTGGGATTCTGACACACACACACACACACACTGAGTTAAGCACACTGCACTGTATGTCCTCAGCCTGCTCTGTTTGTTTGATTTCAGTGATCAGCAGCCCAAAGAGCCCAAGCATGGTAGGACGCACCTCTCAGTTTAGGTTCTAGGTCTCTAAGCAAACGCACACTTTCTCTAATATCTAACATCAGGGGCGGTTCTAGGGTGAGTGGCCCAGACACATTAATGTATGTATCAGAATACACGGGATACACTTCAAATAAAAGTTGCATTGGCTAATTGGCTTATTTTTTTAAAGAGACACGTCTAATTAATTATAATTTGCACTTACAAATTGCATAAGTATTATTTGGGCCTATGAGATTAATGTTTTAAATATAAAATTTAGAATGCAGAAATATGAAATCGTAGAAAAAAATTGAATGATACTTTTAAAAATGAGACTAAAATTGCCAGTAGGTAGCAGCAAGCCACTGTCTTGATGACAGAGTCTTTAAGCCATTTATTCAATCGATTCGTTCAAATCGGTTGATTCATACAGGAACGAAGTAAGAATCTGTTTTTATGAATGGGTCAAAACGCAAATTCATGCAACATGGCTTCGCTTAGAACCATTTTCGCGAAAATATTTTCTCTACAATTTAAATAACTTAGTATTAACTTATTGTTTATTGAATTTTGTTGCCCTGATACTTATAAAAGACTGCCACAGACCATTCTAAATGCTAATCAATCAGTTCATATAATCACTCTAAATGCGTGTGTCCTAGAGAGTGCGCATATAATACCATGATTAAAAATCTATATTTGTTGCTATACAGTAACGATAAACTAATTTTGACAGATGGTGAGATCAGTATTATGAATATATACAGTAAGCTACAGATACCTGAAGCAGCTGCATTTTGCTGTTGAAGAGCTGGTTTAATAGAAATAATTGCATGCAAACCCAGTCTTGATGCGCACAAGACACGGTAATAAAAACATTCGGGGCTTCAGCCCCCTTAGCCCACCCCTAGTGCAAACATCACATTTTTCAATGTGCCTCAATCTAGACAACATGGTTTTCCAGCAAAGGTTTACTGTGATGTTTTTGAACTCTTTTAAGACCGTTATTCAGATTCACATTAAATGACTAAAATGTATTAAAATGTGAATGTGTGCTTTGTATGTTGGCCATTGACTGGTCTAGCGTTTCTTTATCCATTTGTCAAAATGGTCATTGAACAGTTCTGTACACAGAAGCCTCAGAATTTGACACACAACTGGCTCCACTTATTTTACAGTCTCCCCAGTATTTCCTCTGTGCGTGAATGTGAATGAGACGTTACCGCCGCGGCTCATCTCCTGCCAGCTGCTGTTTCGCTCCACACGAGGCACTTCCAGGTCAATGAGAGACACGGCCTCCTCGTCTGAGATATCGTCCTCCAGATAGAACTCCACCAGCGGCAGAACCTCTGAACACACAACAGATCGACGGGAAGCACATCTGAACTCTAACACTGCTCGGCTGAAATTCATGAGGCATTGCCAGAGTACTGTGTCAATGATACGCGAGATTCATGTAAATATGCAAAACCAATGCCAAGATACTGGCTGGCTGACTGTCTTCATTCTCCAGAAACACACTACTGAAGTGGCTTATGGTATCATACAACACAACAGTTTCTTTTGGTCAAGATTTGACCAACACTGTGGTGAAATTTGCAAAAAAGATACACAGATTAGTGGAAACTACTGAAAAGATATGAAGCAAACCTTTCTGCAAGACATATAGACAGAGTAACTGTAAGCCGATTTATTTAAAATTTCATATGATTTTTGGCCATTTCATTAGTTTGTGCAGTCACAAAACTTGGGACTTCAACAAAACTTTGTTGAAGGCAACAAAACTTCAATCTGCTTCACATTTGACGTAAATACACTATATGGACAAAAGTATTGAGACACACTTTTTCAAGTGTTTCAGTCAGAACCATTGCAATGGGTGTAAAATCAAGCACTAGCCATTCAGTTTCTACAAACGTGTGAAAACAATGGCTTTGCTGATTCCAGAGATGAAGAGCTCCGAGCTTCCACTGGTATTAATATCAGCACAGAAACTGTGCAGGAGCTTCATGTCTGAGCAGCTGCGTGAAGCCTCACATCACCGAGAGCAATGCCGAGCGTGGGATGGACTGGAGTAAAGCACCAGATACTGGACTCTGGAGCAGTGGAACCCTGTTCTGTGGAGCCACCAGTCACACAGTCTGACGGGTTTGATGGACGCCAACTCCTTAGTAACGTCTATGTATTTAGAATGAGAGATCATTAAAGGGGTGGTTGACTGGTTTTTTTTTAGGCTTGTTTTTGTTTATGGGGTGAAGTCTAACATGTGTTAATGCTTCGTTTAAAAAAAAAAAACGCATTATTTTTCAGATAATTAACTTTATTCTACACATCTCTGTCCCTTCTCCGATGAACGCTCTGACGTTCAGAAACGTCACGCCCCTCACCTCAGAATGTGCTCCGGTTGTATTGTAAACAATGGCATCGTCAATATTGCTTATCAGTTTGAGCACAAATGAGATGCAGAGAATATTAGTGAAGAGGATCGCGCAGAAGCTGTGCAAGCACGGCTCTTACAGGACGCTTCAGAATGGTATGTTTCTTTGTTTGCTGTTGTCTTATACTTTTAGATATGCTGCTATTTGTAAATGCCACTGCTTCTGTTAGCTTCTAATATACGGTTTTATCCTGATTACAGCAGAATACCTGAATGCGTTGTAGCATTTTTGTAACAGTAAGAAGTGTTTGCCAGTAAGTATTGCTCGCTACCACGGCAACCGCGTGCACGTCCATGTTTAATGCTTCTCGTAGCTATGTGAAAAATTATCTGTCTGTCACATAAAGTGTATAACTGGAACACAGTTCATTGATGGAGCTGATGATCTAATGATCTGAGAGAGAGATGCAGAGCAGGGGATGCGAGGAACAGGATTAAGAACCGCTGCTTTAGAACACTGATTTTGAAACTTGTGAATCCATTAGAATCGTTAGAAGACAGAATCATGATTCATATATGAACAGATTTTTTTGTGCGCCCCTAGTTTTGACGGCATGGCAACAACTCTTCCTCTTCTCTAAAGCAGCGCAACATGGCCCCGCCCCCTTTGTTGCATGTTCCTGGGGGCGGGGTTTATGTAAATTTCTGGGTTTGTGATGTCACCAACCCAGAAGCAGCTCGTTGTAGTCCCTACAAGTCGTTTAAACTGCCAGAATTTTTTTTTTTTACGATTTATTTATGGCGTTTTATGCCTTTATTTAGATAGGACAGTATAGGTCGACAGGAAGCGAAGTGGGTGAGAGCGGGGGATGGGATCGGGAAAGGTCCGCGAGCCGGGACTCGAACTCGGGACGCCCGAAGCGCAATGGTACTGTATGTCGGCACTAACTGCCATAATTTTAAAAGACAATATCTCCGTTTGCATTGAACTTTCAGCGTCGTAACTTTGCAGATATTGTTTATGCTCAAACAGCAACATTACACACTAACTAAAGTTAAAGTCAGCGTGAACTGGAAGTTGCTGCTGACTTTATTTCAGTATGGTGACGTATTTCCACCTGAAACAGAATATTGAGAAGAGGGCGGGGTTTTATTTTTGCGCTCCTCCTCTCATCTTTCACTTGCAGCAAACTAACGGTTGGAGGGGCGTGGTTAAGCACATTCTGCCCAAGCCCTCAAACTGACGTCTTCAGAGCAGGAGCGCCATTCCGGGTGGAAGAAAATTATCAGATTTTGATTAAAGATTACCAACACAAACAATTTTTTTTAGAGGATTAACTTGCACGGATTAATTATTCACCTTAAAGGAGACATATTATGCCCCTTTTTACAATATGTAATATAAGTCTCTGGTGTCCCCAGAATGTGTCTGTGAAGTTTCAGCTCAAAATACTCCACAGATCATTTATTATATCATTTTGAAAATGCCTATTTTGAGTGGAAGCAGAAACATGCTGTTTTTCGGGCCTGTCTCTTTAAATGCAAATGAGCTGTTATGTTTTAAGTCAACAAACGTATTCACCTGTTACAAAAACTGATTTGGCTTTATTATGTGTGCATAATCTACTCATTAAATAAATAAAGTCTAAATAAGTTGTTCAGATGACCAAAGCACAAGGTTTTCTTGCATAATTAACATTTAATTGTTTGGTCAGACAATTACACATTCATAAATCGGGGATTAAACGTGGAGTTATGTTCTGTATGCTTGCT